GGGTGAAAGTCCAAGTGCTCTTTCCAGGAGAGCCATGGCTTTTCCTGTGCAAGAGTTCTGATGGGGAACTGTTAAACTGTAACCTTCAGGCTTCTGCACAGAGAAGACACAGAGACTCAACAGAACACTCAGGTGTTCTGTTAGGCTGTAGAATAGGCATCTGATAAAAGACAAAGTAAGAACTGTATTTCTTGGCAGTTAAATTGACATGTATACTGGGGAGCCATTTTCTGTAAGAGAATGCATAATGTAAAAACTGTGTAAATTCCATAGTTTGCTCTTTCTGACTGAATGTCAGAATGTATAGCAAAGTTAAATATAAGGAAATCACCTTATTACACCCAATAGCTTCTGTTGAATTTCTAAATCACCTTGGATTGCATCTAGGAAAATGAAAAGTAAACTAGATTATTATAAGAAATAATTTTCAGAGAAAAATCTGTCAAAGGCTGACTTTGAGTACTTTCAAATGGATATAAGGTAAATTGCCACAGCATAAAGCAATGGATGAGTTCTAGTCAGTGACAGTCCCTATATATCATACTAGAAGTTTTTCTTCAGTTTTGTCTTAAGTTCATTCTTTCTCTCCAGTACTCCCTTCAATCATCTGTAAGAAGAGATTTTTACTGTTGTGATAGTAAGAGGGAACTTTCTGCTATTTGTAATGGCTTCTGACACATTATAGCAGTAGTCCAAAACTGAGCATTAGGCACTGTCTATGGCTTCCATGGTAACTCATACAGTTTTTTAATTGATGTTTTTGCTCCTACAAGTAGACTTCATAAAATACTAAAAGAGGGGAGAGAAGAGGGAGAAACGTATTTTAGCCTGCTTTTACCATGGCAAAGAAGAAATAACTGCCTTTTGATAAAAATTCAGAGAATTTTCAGACCTTCACCCAGTGTTGAGGGGAATAGTATGAAGTTGTACCTGGCAGTACAAATAAGTTGGTTTATCAGTTGATTGAGTTCTTGTTATGGCAATTACAATCCTAAGCTCCCTTTTCAGAATTGGCAAGTTATTTAGAGTGCAAGTTTTAGCAAGAAATAGAGTCGTGATTATTAAAGATTTGTTGCCTTTTTTTTTTTCTTTTTGAAAAAAACTTTGGCCCTATAATTGCCTCTTTGTATTTTTTTTTTCTCTTCCCAAACTTAGAAAGGCTTTTAGTCTTTGGTGAGAAATTTTAACTTTAAAGCTCTTTGTGTATTATATTCTTCAATACATTTAATGAGGAATAACTGTCTAACAACATTGAGGCACTGTAAATACTGAGACCTGTAACAGCACTTGCAGGATGGTATATGACAGCAATAAAACATTTACGGTTGCATTCTTCATCCTTGTGATAGTGGTATATTGATTATATACAACTACAAAGCGGTAAGAAAGGATCAGGATTTTTGTGAAGTACTTTATTTACTCAGCCTTCATATAATACTCCCTTTACTCAAAAGCCTTATTCAGTGGTTTATATGGCTTTCTTTTGCACATAATTTCCATTAGGTTATATAACCTGGCAACCTGGCTTCACATCAACCCAGTCTATTTAGGGAAAACTTTAATTAGCACTGCCATGCTGGAGGGGGAAGAAAAACAATCCCACCTGACAGTTGGTCTGTTTATTCTTTTCTTGTTTGCTAAAAGTTGAATACTATGTGAGTAGACAGGCTGCCAGAACTTGGACCAGTGGTACTAGAGGTTTGATTTGTTCTGTGGGAAGAGTTCACCTTCAGAAGGAAAGGAACAGTCATGAAAAGGAGAATGATGGAAAACCTTTGCAGCGAAGAACTTTCATCTTGACTCAAGTTGAACTGAAGCTGCCTTACAACCTAGAATGTGAGAGTTTATCTCTCTTCCACAGGTAGATAATAGAAAAAAAAACAACCTGTAACTCTGGATGTTTTCCTCTTCCAGATGAAATATTTCTTCTTTTGTGGAATCTTGTGAAGGTCTGAAAGTTTGAATCAACCACCTGAACTCAACTGGACCTATGAGCACCTTTAGGTGATGACTGTGTCTTAGTTTAATGGACAACAAAGGGAAACGAGGATGTTTAAATATGCCATATTCTTACAAGGAGAAATGTGCAATGTTTCCCACTTCATTTGTCCTAGTGAATCATGAAAGAAAGGGAATAGAAAGTAAAATATGAAATTAAATGCAGTAGCTATAAACTCAGAGTATGAGAAGGTGTTTAAAATCAATTTATTTTATTGAGCATAAAAAGTACACCTTGACATCTGCTAGTGAGATGAAAACTACGAAAAAGGATGTTGTACAAAACTGGTTACAGCAAGTTTACTGCTTTAAAGAGGTTTTTAAAGAACTCAGTTCCTAGCCAGCTGTAGGATATACAAAGTTTGGCGTAAGGCTTCCACTGATTTTGAAAGTCTGTAGCATTGTTATGAAAACTGTGCCGTCATTTTAGATCTCCCACAAAACCATAATTTAATTGGTGGTTATGCAAAAAGAAAATGTCACCAGGAAGAAAGGTGGCATGCACAGACTCATTGAGTAGAGCTGCCTGGTGTTTTCTGCAGAGATGGCTGACACAGTTCTCAGTTTCTCTGTGGCCTCCTGGGCTGCAGAGAAGCACTTGATCTCCTGGGCTGCAGAGCAGAGCTTGATTAGTGTTGCCAATTCCATTCTGAAGCTGGTCAGTGTATCTGTAACAGACGCAAGCTATTTGTTAGCATATGCTGGATGTTCGTTTTCCTCAGAGATTCTGTAGAGTATGTGAGGAAGATTTTCTTCGAAGCCAAACAGAATAATATCAGCTTAGAAAACCGTGCTGCAGAAATAAGTATCTTGTGCTTCTTGTTCACAGGTGGTAGCAGAAAGGCAATTTTTTAAAAATACAGATTTAGGGGTAAGTATGATTATTTTATTTAGCTTAATATTTTGTTTCTGGGTAACGCATGCATATTGCATTCCTACAACATAATGGGACTCTGGAGGCTCCTTAGTGAATCTAGAGAGATGAAACCCATGCTAATGCCGGAATACTGAATTAAAAGCACTATACATTTTATATGAGGCATTCTTCAGGATAGGGATGGATGTGAGCAGTGGATATTATGAGCCTAGTAAAATGTGAAAAAGTTAACAACTTTAACTTTAAAAAAGGAGGGGGAGGGAGAGGGGAGGTAGAAAAAAAAAAAAAAAAGTAATAAATACATGTAGTTGTTAATTCTTCCAGGAAAAAAACTTTTCTTCATTCATAATCAAATTGCTTTGACCCTCTAATAATTATTATTTTGTGTAGATTTTTTCATGTGTTTGAGTCTTTGCAACTAGGGAACTTTAACTAGTTTTCATTGCATTGAACTTTATCAAACACTTAAAAGAACTGTAGTGGGTATTGATTTTTAGCTATTATGTGTACAGAAAACTGTAACTATGGGAATTACTGTTTGCAAATAGGCAGAAAGAAATGTTTTCTCTAAGAAATAAAAAGCAAATGAAAGGGATGGAAATGACCTGCAATTTACTGAGGCAAAGCATAAAAGAATCCAGGAGATCTAATTGCTAGCAAAGACAAGAGCTCTGTTCCCTCTTATGACCTTGCTTGTTTTCACTGTTATTTTTTACTGAAGCTTTAATGTTTGGCTTCCAAGAGTTTCTGAAGATGAAGGGTAACAAATTGATATTTAACATGGGTTTCAGATATCATTTGATGGATGGAAGTGGTTTGCACTGCTTTGCTGAATTTCACACATCAAACAAATATTTTTACTTAGTTTCTGAAAAATAGAATCATAGAATGGCCTGGGTTGAAAAGGGCCACAATGATCATCTAGTTTCAACCTGCCTGCTGTGTGCAGGATCACCAACTACCAGACCAGGATGCCCAGAGACACATCCAGCCTGGCCTTGAATGCCCTAGAGGGGCATCCATAACCTCCTTGGACAACCTGTTCCAGTGAATAGGAACAGCATAAACAACAAGCGCAACAAACAGAAATAGCATACTTAGTTCTGTAAAACAGTAAAATTGAATGAGGTTTTTATTTGCATCACGTTATTTTTAATTGCCAGTGATGCAGTGTAGCAAAAGTTCTGCTATATCTATTGATTTTCATTAGCACATGATTAATCATTGCAAATAATTGGGCCAAGAAAGCCCGCTGAAAAATTCTCCTGTATACTTTTCAGCTGACATTACTGATACATTATCTTAGAGGGAGAAATCTTAAGGTAGAAAAATCTGTTTTTGAAGATTCCTGATTCATGCATTAAAATTGGTTACATAAATTTATTTTATATGTGTAAAATTAACAAAGTTCTTTTTAATTTTTTTTTTTTAATTTTTTTAATTTTTTAATTTTAATGTAAATTTGTGCCAAAAGGTAAATCTTGTTTTATAGAGAGAGCGAGAGATCCTGGAAGAGGATAAATGCTGTATGGTGACTGTGCAAAGCTTGAGATGATTGCACTTATTTTTTCCATCAACAGTTGTATTGGAATCTCTTTCTGTTGCTTGAAAGAGTGTTGTGAGTTAAGAGCCCTGGTTGTTCAGCGCGGGGTCAGGTGAGCGCCTCTGCTGCGCAGGTGGAGCGGGACCCATTGGTGGGACACAGGTGGAGCTCGCAGCGCACTGCCACGTGCAGGGAGCCCTCGCGGCAGCAGGGTGAACATTCCTGCCTCTGAGCTTGCAGGAAAAGTTTGCCTGGAAGATATATTGCTTACAAACTCTCGGATGTTTTTTGTTTGTTTTCGTACGTGTTGTTTTTTTCCTTCTGCTTGTCCCCAACCCTTTTAAAATTTTTATTTATTTTATCTTGTGCTTCAGAACGCCAATGGAGAGACTGTTACCCGGGGGGGGGGGGGGGCGGCTGGGCACGCGCTGCAGGTGGGCGGGAAGCCTGCCAGCAGCAGGAAGGTTCCAGAGCTCTGGGCCCTGTAGGGAGGTCGTGCCTGGGGCCGCCGCTAGGGGGCGCCACGTGCGCGCTCGTGCTGCGCGTGGGGGGGGGTTCGTGTGCTTCTGCTTCAGCTTTACCCTCAAAGCCGCGCTGAGGGGCGGGGGAGCGCTGCTTGCTGTAGCAGAGCGTGCTCTGTTATGTTCTTCCCTTTTTCCTCAAGCAGAACGAATGTCCGATGGAAAATGCATAGTATGAGTAATGCATGTGTCCGTGCATCACAGGTGAGAAGGATTTCTCCTGAATTGTGATCCGAAGTGTGTTTTCAGTGTTGGTGCTGTGCTGCAGCTGGCTAGCAGCTTCGTTGTTGTATCTAGCTGTGTTTTTATTGCCACTCAATTAACTCCGAGGTAATCGGCTTTACTTTCTTGATTTTTAAGTGCAGGTTGTCTCGTTTGTGATCACCTCTGAACGTATATGAAGAATAAATAGCATAATGAACTACCTCTGATCTGGGTATAATTTAGTTATACCTGTGCTGTGGAAACTCTGTGCAGAGTTTTTGAATTAGATGTAACAGCACCCATATCTTAGAAACTAGTCAGCTGCTTTAATTACAGAAGTAGCTGCCCGCTATTCCAGTGTAAACTTAGATGATGCAGTGTGATTTTTGGAGAGGGGAAAAAAAGCCCCGAAAGCCTCTGCAGCAAAAATCACGAGTATCTTTACATTTAATTCCAGCTACTAGGAAACAACAAGGACTGTGGTACAAATAGAGGACTGTGTGTACTGCAGTGCTTTCTGTTTGGATACCAGTGTCACATGGGACAATCTCACGGCGTCGTCTTATTTGTAGTGCATGTGTTACCTCAGCAAGAATTGAATTCCCAGCAAATAAGGAAAAAAACAAAATGCAGCCTGGAATTAGTGGGAACATAGTTCTGGAAACAGTCATTTTTTTGAAATTACCCCATAATCTGTAAAAATTAACCAGCTGTTTTTCTTGTTATGTGTTACTCATCTCTTGCCTTTCCAGATACGTTTTGATGTCTGTTGTAATATCAGGTGGTGATCTGGTGTTATTTCCAGTTGGTAGAAGGTGATAAAGTGGCTGCATAATGCATTAGAATTATTAAAAAAAAAAAAAAAAAAAAAAATGCACAGATGTGCTATTGAGGTTAAATGCAGTGAGGAGGTTCTGAAAGTGAGATACCATCTTTGTTTCTACTGAACAGGCACAAAAGAGTGAGTGTATTGTCACAGAAAGCACCAGTTTGCTTACCGTTTTGTGGAATAATTAATTGTATGCACATCAGAAATTGCTTTCTCAGTACTGTTACGTGTAGTTTAGCTTTGGGAATCTTCTATGATCTGAAAATCCTAGGGACAGGTAAGAGGGGCAGGGTTGACTCCAGCTAACAGGTGTGATGGTTCAGTGTCTGATTGCAAAGAAAATATCAGCAGCGAAACAGTAGTTGGAGTTTGTGCAACACATAACTATCACAGAGAACAGGTTCTCCAATTTTTGTCAGCTTCCATAGTACGCTGAGTATTTGGCTTTCTGAAACAGGAGTTCAGAAATAGGAGAGAGAACAGAACCAGGCACTAGAGTGATGGGACTGCAGTGCTGCTGTCTGGGTATGATATCCTTACTGTTGGCTAGCTAAGTACAGCTGGTTAAATATGGTCCATTGGCAAGTAATTGTCTGCTCTTTCTTCTTTACAATCTTAACATGTACATCCTTCCTGTAGTTAATTAAGTTAATTCTGCTTCAGCAATTGAGTGCTACTGCATGTGTGTTTAGAACATGTTCTTGTAAGGTGTCTGTGCACAGGAACCATCCCTCACAAGAACAGAACCAGCTGCCAGACTCATTTAAACTTCAGAAATAGTTCACAAGTTGAAACTGTGTAGGCAGTTGTAAGCTATTAAAAATAAATGTGTGAAACATTTACTGACTTTAAACAGCTAAAATTCTTTGAGACTTAAGCAGCCAAAATCTAATCTTGTTGTATAATAATGTGAAGATTGTTTTTTTTTTTTTTTTTTTTTTTTTTTCAGTGAAGACTGGCTGTCACATACATAAAGCTGAAGTGCTGGGTAGCATAAATTTATAGAAGGCAAAAATATGCTCATTGGAGTGGAAGCTAAAGTACCTTTTAGATGTATTTCAAAGTATGTACTGGAGTTTTTTTTCTTAATTTTTCTGAACTTTTGCATTCCAGTAACAGAGGACTTAAGCTGAACAGTTGTGTGCAATTATGCCATAGCATTACCCAATGTAGCACGGCTCCAAAATATATCTAAATGATGCATCTCAGCAGCAGTCCACATCCGTTAACTGGGGGGCTGTAGCATTGTTACTTTGGAGTGGCGAATCAATTTATGGTGTCTGTATGCTGTTCTAAAGAATGAGACTTTTCTTTGTGTCACATACTCATTCTAATGATGTGTGTATTTGTGTTAATTACTATGAAGTTTTTTTGTTTGTTTCTCCCTTGTGTGATTTGTTCCTTCTTTCTCCCTAATGCAAGTACATCTGTGATTTGGATGGAGCCCTTTCAATTCCTTTATCATCTGAAACACCACTTGACTTCATGTTCTGTTCTCCAACAGTATGCAAATCGTTTTGTGCTGTTTGCTATCCACCTACTTTGGCTCAAGTCTTCCTTTTGATTGTGTACTTGGGATGGTTGTACTGTCATCAGGCTATAATGTCCTGGCCATGAGAGAAGAAAACCGTTGTTATATATGCCCACTTTTAACTGCTTGATCTCATTTTCAGCAGCCCTAGAAACTTGTAGTGCAAATATTCTGGTAGCAAATTATAAAAGCATTGTCCCCTTAGTTTTCTCCAAACTGTGCTGTACCTTGTTATCAAGTTCTCGCAGCATCTGGGGTCACCAAGGGGTACTGTGAGGTAAGTGACATTACCAAAGCAGTCATCTCTGGCTGTGGATCGCTGTCAGCAAACACTGCAAATTTGATTTTCCATGTGGCTGAGCAGCATCAGCTGGCTTTTGTCATTATTGCTGGAACCATTTACAAGCATCAAGGATAGTACTGGCTGCATTCCATTGCTGGTGTTGGAACTGTTCCCTGTCATTGCAATTCTTCAGTCATTCATCCTCACAAATGTTTCTCCACCACGCGTTTTGCAACAGCAGAAATGCAAAGCGCCATTCCTTACTGACACTGCAGTCTCTTGCGCAACAGTTTTGAGAGCAGCCCTCTATTGTTTCTCATCACTTGCAGAATTGTGTAGTATATACTTGTTGTCAGCCTTTTGTAGTGACAGTCTTCCATGCTGTTAGCGGTGTTCTTAACACTTGCTCCGAATGCCTTGTCTTAACCTGGGAGAAAAAGCAACAGATTCACTAGGAAAATCAGGGGCCCTAGCACAGCTTCTGTGGAGGATAGATTACCTATGTATTTCCCTGTGAAGGAGCTGACATCCCATGCCATCTTTTTCCCTCCTCTAGATTTTGCTGCTACTTGTGCTGGAGATGTTTTGAGTAGTAGGGAGGTGTTTGGTTTTGTGCTATCTGATAGATATGATTCCAATTTTTGTAATGGAGATGCTGCACAGATTTGAGCACTTCCTTTTCTGTGATAATGGCTGATGCATTAGAAAAGATAGAAATAAGAAATGGTGGGACTGTTAAGGGAATGGGTGGTCTGGTGAAATTGCCTTTCCACCCAGCTTTGCTTGGCAGGCTATTGAGACTTGTTTGGTTGATGAGACTTAAAGTTACTGGACACACTGACTTCTTTTGTGTTCTTTTCTTTCATCTGGCATTACAGAAAATACTGTTTGTGACAGATACAGAGAGGACTTCCCACGTTACTTTTCCAGCTTACTTTTAAGTAGGAAGACATTCTCATTGACTCAGTGTTGTTACTAATAGTGTACTCTAACAATTTAATTAGTCTTACATAAGAGATTAAATTGCTTTAATTGTTAGGGAAAATAGTTCTAATTGATAAATATCTTGATTTCCTCACTATTTTATTGTTGATAGTGTGTGATCTTAGATGTAGTCTATTTTAGCAGCCACCATCAATAAAATTGACTTCAAAGCAAAGCATGTTTGAGTATCAGTTTATTATACCTTAGATGATGACTTTTGAGTGGTCAGTGCAAAAGGCTTCTTTTGTTTTGTTTTCCCAGCAGTGAGTGATGGTAAACTATTAAGGGATATTAAATCCAACCTACCTCACCAGTCAGAAATCTGCAGAATCCTCTTCTCAATGTTCTGCTACCACTCCAAAGGAAAGAATTGAGAAGTAGGCGCAAAATCTGTGCATGCAAGCAACTCATCTGTGATTACCCATCAAAATTCTGCTAAGTCAGTCTTTGGAACCCTTTGCCCTTTCACCTTTTGCACAGTGTGGCTCTGGTCAGAGTGAAGCCCTTTACTGTCAGCAGGAGTGTGGAAAGTGCTTTGTGAAACTATGGTAATTTGAGGCCTACAGCATTAGTCAGTTTCTAAGAGCTACTGTGAAAGACAATAATTACAGGTTATTTTGTTGTTTGTTTTCAAATAGTCATGCAATGGGTACATTTCTTTTAGAAGTAGACTGTTCTTCTTCTGTGTGCTGAACTTCACGCCTGTAACAGTGATGTCAGTAAAATCACTCAGCAGTTGTAGTGCTCTCCGTTCCTATGCAAAACTTAGCATTGTAATTACATGGAATTTAATGGTTCCATTAGTGAGAGAGTGTAGTTCATGCATTCTGGTACATTTTAACTAATTATCTTGTGCATTGGAACTGCAACATGAAGTACTCAAAACGCCTTCCTTACCTTCCACCCCATGCAGGTCACAGGCAGAATGTGATTGCATATCGTATGAGTACTGTCTTTGTTTGCATGAAATTCAACTGAGTAAATGAATGCTAACTGTCATGAGGTATAACTCAATTATGTCTCAATGGGATGAGTGGTGTAAAGTAAGGTAGACACCTTGGAGTTCCTGTTTTATAGTAGCTCCTCCTCGTTGCAACCTGGCCTTGAAATAGAATAGCTCCCATCTTCCAGCATTTACTGCCAAGATATTCTGCTTCCACGTAGAGGGAGGAGCTGTTTTGTTTTTTGAAGGAGCTTCTCCATGGGCTTTTAAGCTCTTCCAATAGTCCATCCATTTTTGCCTTCTTCATTGAATTTCTTGTATATGTAATTCAGTAATCTATGCAGAAAATGATATGATTAATCTGAGAATAAAAGAAATGAGTAGAAAGCTTCCCATTTCACTTCGGTTGGCTTTAGGTCATAAGCATACA